TTTCTGGGCCTGATCGCTAGAGGTTGGCGTCATATAACAAAGTTGCTGCTGGAAGAGGCGCCATATTGAATTTCAGTGATGCCAAGTGTTTCTCCGTGTTTGCAGGCACAATGTTCAATGCCTGTTTCTGGGACTGATCCCTAGAGGTTGGCGGTAAACACTGATTTACACACGAAAAAACTAATCACTGATTGGCTAATCCACCCAGGCTGAATGAAACAAACTATCTGATTTTTACCTTCACGGGCTTTTTTAGCTTCTTCCTCACTGGGAAACACTTTCTTGCCAGTTTCAAATTCAAGCGTTGAGCTAGATTCTGACTTGGAGGTATCTTTGAGCTTATTTCCTTGAGTGTTACCCATGTTGAACGGTCCTAACAGCAGCTTAAAGACACTAAATAAACACAAGCAAAAGACAGAACAATATTATCATAAACAATAAATGAGGAAAAATACAAAGAATCACCAAGGAAATGTCTGTAGTTAAATTTATTATATAGTTAGGATAGTACGAGAGTGTCGATTGGTCGAAACCTGTGCTTTATTAGTGAATGGAGCACAGTGCTGACACCATCTGCGCACGTGTCATCAATACTGTTTTCTTTTACCTCTTTCCAAAGTTGGCTGCATTCATGGATGGAATAAGATGCAACCATGCTTCACTAACTAATATACAACAAATCTTACATTTACAACTATCACTCCACACACAGAGCTCTTCCATGTGGTTCACTCTACAAGCCCTATGACTACATTCTATATTTACAACATACAACACTTAACTCGCATATTGATTTTTATGGAGGGAGGAAAACCTGGGGGCCCGAAAAAAACCAACATTGCTGCAAGGGAGAAAACAGCATATAAACCAAACTCAGCTCGCATATGATCCAGTCCTATCCAGGGCTTGTATCTGAACCACACCACCCAATACTACTAATAATAATATATTTATAATAATATATTTATGATAATATACCAAATCTTTTTTAAATGTAATGTGGAACTATATTTTTACTTGTTGTTTTGCATTTTGACTCCTACAAAATATAACCCGACTTAAAAATTTTCAGCCACATTTCACAACAATTTTCATTCAACAACCTCTTTATGTTTAATCAGTTCTTAAGAGTCTCCAAGGATGTCAATCAATGTAAATCATTATTCCTCCAAACACCCCAGCAACCAAAAAACTCCAAATTCAAAGCTAAAATTATTTTTCTCTATACAATTGAAAATGTTCAACGAAAATAAAATCATGCATATATAAGTAATCCAAATTCTAAAGGAGACATGTTTTTGATAGGAATTTTAAAAATGCGTGACAAGTACTTTTAGAATATGAACCTCCTTGTAGTTCAGTCTTAGATAAATATCTTAGGGAAAAAAAAGAAAAAATGCTATCTGCTTACACAAGAACAATAAATATAACATCTATTTCTATGTTTAAAAGTAGAATTTTTTGTACGAACAGCATAAAATGCTAAAATGGATAATGACATCGGTTTGACGTGGAAGATTTCGTTTTGACTTATTTTCGTCAGGAGTTTTTTTTTCATCAATGCACAAGAATTACCGAGTTTCTGTCGATAATAACTGTCTGTGATACTTAAGAGATCTCTGTGACTTACYTTTTTAACGAAAAGCGTTAAAGTAAAGTAACATAAATGATATATTTTCGTGTGTTTTCATTCCTGTTTGCACGACTACGAACCGGCCATTTTGGGTAAATAAAGTACGCAAGGCTTCATGGTAAACACAGGTAACCCAAACGTATTACTATTAAAAGGACTGTGATTAGAATAAGAAATTTGAAAAAATATATTGAGAAAATAAATAGAGGGATAAAAAGGAAAGTGAGTTCGGTTTACGAGTTGGGAGTTACGAGTAAATTCGATCTGGGGTGGCGGCATGCGTGTATACGTTTAGGGGTGGGGGTG